CCCTCAGCAGTGTACTTCGTCAATCTGCCTGTTCTGTTCCCCACTCTGTCTCTGATGAAGCCTGTCGCTGCCCCTGAGCTTCTGGCCTGTATCCCAGTTCTGTATGCACAAATAAATCTTTTAAAAATATATATTGATAATACATGTTTGCTGGGCTGAGGTCCACCTTTGGCCACAGAGGACTGAGGTTAAAGCTCCCACTAGTGAGTACCCAAACCTCCTCCTCCTGCAGCCTCTGCTGGAATAGGGACTCGTGGCTCTCTGTGGACATTTCATTGTCCCCTGATGGAAGGAAGCAGTGAAGGGTGAGCTCCACCTCTTCTTGCACCATCTCAAGGAGAAAAGGTCCAATTTCCCTGATAGTTCTGTTTGGTTCTGCCTGGTTCAAGTAAGGGATCTCCCAGCCCTGGCTGTCTCATGGCAGGTGTGCTGTGGTCAAACCTTGCAGGGATGAGCATGATCAAAATTTGGGTCTAGGCCAGGGATCAGACAAGCTAGTAGTCTAATGTATCAGTAGATAATTGTAGTGAGTGTAGTGGAGAGAACTGTACAGGATCCCACAATGTGCCTGCGACCTTAACTCCAGGTAGTCAGAAAGTATAATCTAACATTTTTCATGCCTTGAATGTTATTCTCTCTAGTACCTCAGTGGAGGGTTCTTTTTATTTAGTTATACAATCAACACATGTTGAGTGAGGATCAATCACACCCCAGACACTGAAGACAAAGCAGTCAATGGACTCTGCAGACTCTACTACCTGCCTGTCAAGATCATGTTTGAAGGGGGATAAAGAAAACACATACACACACACACACACACACACACAAACACACAAAGTAAGTGAAATACTTTTAAGTTAATGGAAATTTTTGAGAAGAAACAATAAATGAGAGGTGAAGTATAACATACAAGTAGGAAGTGATATTTTAGACAGGGCTTCTCAGAAGAGGGAAATTTTGAGCAAAGATTAGAAGGAAGAAGAAAATGCCTAAAGAGATCACCAATGAAAAAACATGTTGGCAAAGGGATCAGTGAGTGTAAAGGCCCTACATTGGAGAGTGTGAAGTAGCTTTTGAGAAGTGGCCATGAGGTCAGTGTGGCCAGAACCAACCAGAGGAAAGAACAGTAGGAGATGCAGGTGAGGATGTAAGGAGTGCTGGGTGATAACTGGGCCTCCCAGTTCAGCAGAAGGGCCATGCTCTTATTGCGGAGCAAGCTAGGGACTCAGTCCCCAGTACTCAGTGGGAAGCGACATGTCCTGGCAGGCATCAAACAGGGTCTGTCTAGATGTTAAGAAGACAATGAAAAAAGATAAAGGCGGTTAGGTGACATAAACAGAGCGGAACATCAAGTGAGAATCTGGTCAGAATTCCAGACAGAAGAAGGCTGTGCTGCATTTGATTTGTAAAGTTTCTGGCTTATCTGTGTGTTTGTCTAACAACCACTACTGTGAATTGCAGTTTTTGCATAGTGTAGCTCTCTGCTACTCCTCACCTTTTCAACTGACTACAATGAAGCTTATTTCTGGATGATGTGAAGCAATTATGCTTTCCTTGCCACAAACTCTTATCTCTTTCCACCTCTTTGAGGATGTCTTTTCCTATTGCTGGTGTGACAGTTCCCATTGTATCTTTTATATCTAGATACCCCTCCAGCTTTGTTACATTTTGGTCAGTGGAAGACCACAAATGAAACAGGAAGGCAGGAGTAAGTGGAGACTGGGAGGTCCATTGGTGCAGGCTTAGAGCCATGAAGGCAGGTGAAATGTGGTGGCAGTGGAGATTTAGCCTTGATCTTCAGGGACGCAGGTATACTCTGCTCTGGAGTTAGAGATATTGATCACTATTCCTAAGTTCCAATAATATCATTTTTCATTATTTTGGAAGCTCCTCATAAAGTTACTTTTGTTAGATATTTTTATGGGATAGAGAAGCATCCAGTAGAATCTTTTAGTATCAATCATTTTAGTAACTGGATGTCACTGACATCCTTTTCAGTCACATAGTTTTCCATTGGATAATATGTTATAACTCTACAGACACATAAAAGAATTTCTCAGGCATCAAAATACAAATAATAGCAGCTTCCCTTTGAGTACTCACCCATTAAAATTATTAAATCTATAAATATATGCTGAGCTAGATATACATGTATGTTGTCAACTCTAATCCTTTCCAGAATAGCAACTCCAAAGTCCTAGATACTAATGTAAAGAATGTCACCCAATAAAGTATAGAGGGCTCGCATGTCAAAACAATTCATAATATCTAAATCAGACTTAATAACTTTATTGTGTCCACAGTGGTGATATTTGAAAGAATAAAGACTTTCCAGGTGTAATGCTGAACACAATAAAGTCACCTAGCTGGACCAAGTCAAGGAGGAAGTGTTTGATCCTGGATCTAGTGTCATTACTTCAGTCAAAGGCAACTACCTACCTAGCCCAGAAATGTGAAACAAAGGGTTATTCATTTCCACAACTCTGAAAACTTGTATCTGTTGAAATAAATACCAAAATCAGAACATGAAAAGTCACACATGTGAGAAGAAATGTTTGACTACTATTTCCATGTTTCCATGTTTCAGAACAAAGTACACTGGCACCTGAATTAGGAGGTAATCATGGCCACTCAAATTTAGAAATCTCTGGAAAGCTATAGTCTTATCTCCTCTAGAGACATCAATTTATAGGTTTGTAAACTCAAGAGTCTTTTGCCTTCCCTCCCCAGAGAGGATTTCTTTATATTCCCTAATAAAAGTCTCTTTTGCTCTTTCCAAAGGGAGAGGGCCAGGTGGACCAGTAGATTTCACACAAACTATGAGATTCTCAAGTTCAGGTTTTGTCTCCTGTGGCCCAAACCCCTAACCCTGCAAGTATAGGGAGCATCTGGCTCCTATTCCCCTGGAGAAATGATAAGATCGCTGTAGTAAGTATCCTGTTGGCTGGTCCAGGAACCTCATATATTTTTGTTGGAATAAATTAATACAAGTAAATTTGAAAACTTAATAATTCATTAAAATATACCATTTACTTTTCTGTAATGACAATGATATCATTCAACATGATAGACTGCAATATGATGAGATGAGCTATCAATCATGCTGCTGTCCTTTCTAGGGCATCATTGCTGTCTATCTAGTGACAAATTCATGTTGCCTATATGGAGAGTGTACATAGTCTCACCTCACAGAAATTCACTGGACCTTGTAACACAGAAAATTAAATATGATATTTACTACTTACCAACATAGTTTAAGAAGTATCAAGATTTCTTTCTCATATTTTTTCTCCAATAAAAACAGTGTGAGCTATTTTTAGGTTTAATTGTGCCTTCAGTTTTTCGGAACCCACCACACAAAGTGAAGGAAAGCAGCAGCTGAC